CTGAGTTCAAATCTGGCCTCAGACACATGATACTCACTAGCTGTGTGACCTTGGGCAAGTCACTCAACCCCAATTGCCTTGTCCAGAGAGAGAGAGAGAGAGAGAAAGAGAGAGAGAGAGAGAGAGAGGAGAGAGAGAGAGAGAGAGAGAGAGAGAGAGAGAGAGAGAGAGAGAGAGAGAGAGAGAGAGAGAGAGAGAGAGAGAGAGAGAGAGAGAGAGAGAGAAATTACAGGTCCTTAAAGTATCACAATTTTAGATGTTCCAGGGATCCATCTGATTGGAGAATCCTATTGGGTTTCCTCTCAAAAAGCAAAGGGCACTGACTTAGAGAAGGGCCATGTCTGCAGAAAAAGAAGAGAAATGGGCTTTATGCCCTAATTGCTCTTCTTTCCATTGGTCTACATTCTCCATGTTTTTTCCCGTTGAACATATTGTACATTAGAGTAGGCATTGTGTCACTTGGAGTTTTATGCTCTTGAGATCCAGGGTGTGGGCAATTTGAACAATTTGTGATTTCCCTCCTCCCATATGAATGCAGAATAATCTGTGTGTATATGCATGTATATGTGTGAGGTTCTTGGCTTTTCTGTCTCATAGAATGTGAATCTCAGAGCGGGAAGTAACCTTAAAAGTTATCTAGTTCATAAGGAGTTTGAATGCAGATCGAAGCATATTATTTGCTGTTTTTTTTCTTCTGTTGTGTTTTGTTTCCTCTTTCTGGTAGGTCCTCCTATTGGTTCTAATTCTTACTTACAACATCACTAATGTGAAAATATGTTTAATAGGAATGTATATGCATAGCCTATATCAGATTGGCATGCCATCTAGGGGAGAGAGGTGGGGAGGGAGGGGGAGAAAAATTAAAAACTCAAAAGCTTATGGAAGTGATTGTTGATAATTCAAAATAAATTAATAAAAAAAATTTTTTTAAAGTCATCTATATTAAATGACCTTCCCAGGGTCACACAGCTAGTAAGTGTTATGTGTGTGAGGCTGGATTTGAACTCAGGTCCTTCCTGAAGCATGAATTCTTTCTCTAGAGGTCCCTAACAGTAATCACCTAGTGGTAGCCTCTGCTTGACTATCTCTAGTGAAGGGGAGCTCACTCTCCCCAAAAACAGCCCATTTCACTTTTGGACAATACGTAATTGGATAATCATTTGGATAATACTTAATTATTAAGAAGATCTTCCTCATATCCAGAGACTTGGATAAAAACCTCAGCCCTATTTTTAATTCTTTGTGGAACCTTGTACTAGTCACATCTTTCTGGGCTGCACAGCAAAATGAAGGCGCTCACAGGATAATGGGATCATAATTAGACTAGATGTTACATAAGGTCCCTTCTGTCTCTAAACCCATGATCCTATGAAGATCTGCCTCCCCATAATTTCCACCTGTTGCTCTCCTGGTTCTGCCCTCTGGGAACAAGCAGAGTGTATCAATTTCCTGTCTTCTGCTTGACACATCCTGTCCTCCCTAAGTCTGCTTTTCTTGCAGGCTAAACTTTGCTAGTTCCTTGAACAGTTCTTTGTATAATATGGTCTTAACATTCCCTTCAGCATTATTTTTTTCTTTTTCCCTTAAAATGTTTTTGTCTTAATTCAATTTTATTTTCCTCCCAGCATTCTTATTGCTTGTGCTTTAGTTCTTTACTGTTGTTCAATGAATCAGTCAATAGACACTTATTACACTCCTGCTGTATGCTGGGCACCATAGGCCCTATGCAAAGTTCTTGGGACACTAATGTCAGAGTGAGAGAGTCTTTGCCCTCAACATATTCATAGATAAATAAATTCTATCTATCTGTGTGTGCATACTTATGTATGTCGATATCCACATGTATATATCCACATGTAAACACACATGTATACACACACTCAAACAAAACAAAATTAAATCAGGATAGGCCTGAGTGCAGAACCAGGAGAGCACTGGGTAGAAATGGATGGAGGTGGACAGAAACGATCAGAAAAGCAGAAAGAGAGAGACACACACAGAAAGAGAAAAGAACAGGAGAGACGAGAGCTTTGGATTACATTCCCATGTGGGGAACAGAAGATGAATCCATCATCACCTATAAAGAAGACAGAATAATCAGTCAGACCAGGAGGGAGAAATCCTTGAGTAGTGTAAGGAAAAATAGGTAGTAGAGTAGTTTCAGAGGAATGAAGTAGTCAGTAGTGTCAGACGCTTCAGAGGGTTCAAGAAGAGTGGGAAAGGGGAGAAAAAGCTATTGGATCCAGTAATAAAGAGATTATTAGTGACCTTGGACAGAGCCATTTCAGTCAAGTGGGGTCACAAGCCAGATTGCAAGGCATTTAGGAACTAGAGGGAGTTTAGGAGTTTAGGGCTGAGGGAAGTGAAAAAGTAGAGGCAATGAATGGAGGCAACTTTTTTTTCCCCTAGGATTTGGCTATAGAAGGGAAAAAAAGATATTGGATGACAGCTTGTGGGGATGGTAGGATCAAGTGAAGGTTTTTAAGTTTTAAGCATCCAATGCTTAATTGCAGCATCTATAACTGAACATAGTTCTTTATATGTATTCTGGTGAGAGCAGATTATAGTGGCATAATTACCACCCCCTCCCCTTCATTTTGGACACTTGTATAATTGTTAGTATAGCAAAGGTTTTCATTAGTGAGTTTAGTAGGTACCTGTTTCCTGCCCCCCCTTTAAAAAAAAAAGAGAGCTTTCTACTTTCTCAGCTTCAGATCATGACTACATGGCATCATAATAAAGTTACATGCCCTTCTGCACACACCTTTGTTTATGAAGTTAATGTCTTTATTAATAAATAATGAGCTACTCTAGCTTGTGATCATATGTATTAATTATCTTTTCCAGAGGGGAGACATATTCTTGTATGACTACCCTAAAGCTACCTCTCCTTAGCAGGGCAAGTCATCATCCTTTCTTCAGGGTAGAATTCAGAGTAGTAAATATTCTTTATGTGTGCTCTTCCTTGGCTATTTTAACTTGGACCAATGCAACAAAAATAATGGAAAGATTTTTAAGCCATTTCTCATTTCTGGGACTCCCTTTTTCATATGTGCAAGGAATTGTTGTCATAAAATGCCATATCCTTTGATTGACCAACCATTAGGTACAATTTTGTGCAGGTAAAATTGCAGAGACAAAAAAAAAATCTAAACTTTAAACATTTAGCCCTTAAGCTACAATTATATGCTATCCAGGCTGTGCCGGAGCACCTGAGTGATCAGCTGATTTGGTATCATAGGTTGGCAGCAGGCTCAATGAACCAGACCTTAAGATGGCCAATACTTGCTGCAATAGATAGTAATTTCCCATAAAGCCTTTCTTCTGGAGAATTCCTTCTAGCAATGGAAAGGATGATGGGATGGTCAGGATAAGTTGGAGAAATAAACCGTGGAGGTATTAGGATATATGTATACAAAACAGTTTGATAGATGCTTATCTCTTAACAGAAACCTTTGGTATGTGAACAAGTTTCATTACAGGTTTTTTTTTTCCTGCAGCAGTCCACTTCAGCTTACACTAGACCACAGGAATGAAAGTCGTTTATTTCTGAGAAAGTTATTATTATCATCATCATCATCCCAAATGTAGCCCAAGTTGATACTAGTTCAGAAAGTGTTAGTGTCTGAGGTTTTCCTTGGAGGCAGAAACAGAAAGATAGAGAATGTTGAACAAATTATGACCAGATTAAGACCATAAAGATTTAACTCACTTCTTTAGGATTAAAGGGTTTAAAGACCATTGGACTAGCACACACATCAATAAATAGACCATCTATTATGGTAATGCTGGTTTAATTCCATCGACAGTAAAATAGAAGACTGAAAACATAAGACTTGCCACACAGAGTCAGTTCCATGGCCCGCCCAGTCCAAGATGCTCTCTGATAATGGCATATCGTTCAACCCTCAACAAGATCAGCCTCACAGATTGGGGTGGGCCCTTTAAATGTCCTGATTTCCATTAGAAGCCCATTATTAATCAGGCAGAAACATGAATGAATACTTTTTACGTTTAACTAGACTTTTCCTTTCTTGGTGTTAACAGTAATACGTTTGTATTAAATTCAGTCTCCAGGAGCTATTACTCTGTCCACTAACAGGAATGACAATCTCTCCAAGCCTTGGTAGATAGTCTTCTCAGATTGTTGTGACCAAAAAGAAAAGAAAAGAAAAATTACCTGGGAATCAAGATTCTGGTAATGTTGATCCTCTTTGACTTCAACTAAGCAGGTCCTCTGACTACGGATACAGCCTGAATGAGGCTTGTACAGCTCTGGAAGCACCTTTGTGTGCATAAGGTAGCACTTTTGTGCTACCAAAAGATATTGGAAGAGGACAAATATCACTGGAGGAAGATATGTGAGGTGGTACTTCCAATGAAGCCCAATGGGCTTGGCCTCATCCCCAAAATAGAGTTTTGGAAGGAACTCACCAATGACAGAAGGCAGCCCAGTAAGGTGGAAAGAAGTGGGTTTGAGAAGTGGAGGGGAGAAGGCAACAGTGTCATAGTGGCTAAGTCTAAAGAGTCAGGAAAAGCATAGCCAGGAGAGGAATAAAGGGGCACTTGTGGCCTGCCTTTGTTACCGCCTCCCTCCTCCCTATCCGATTCCATCTTTCCAAGGGCATGTTCAGTGCTGTGGCACTGTCTGGTACCTAGCTCAGAAGAGGAAGTCAGTTCACCAGTCATGACACAGCGATTCAGATTCAGCCTAGGCTGCTTATCTGTAAAAATAATGCTAGACTGAGATCTTTCAACTTGCCCTTTAAGTCCCAGCTCTGGCATCTAGCAGTGTGACCATTGACAGTTTGCTGAACCCTTAAGAGCTTCAGTGTCCTCATCTGTGAAATGGGAATACCTGAAGGAATCTCTGTCCCAGAGGTGCTGTGAGCCAAGCACTTTGTCAACCTTTGAAGTGTTATAGAAATGTAAGCCATGATTATCACCCACCTTTTCTTTGAGATTTTTAATGTCTAAATTTAACATTGATTTTATTATAGATTATGTGGGCAACCTCCATTTTTGGCAAGTTCTGAAGACAAACTTTTTGAATTAATAAGAAAAGGGCATCTACGTTTTGGAAATAGCATCTGGGAAACTGTGAGTGACTCTGGTAAGGATAATTTGGAGGGCGGTATTTCTAATTAAAGCAAATAGAGACAATATTAAAAATATTTGAAAACAATGACAGTATTTTGAACATATGTTTTTTGGTGAAGCAATTGGAGTTAAGTGGCTTGCCCAGAGTCACATAACTAGTGAATATTATGTATCTGAGATCAGATTTGAGCTCAGGTCCTCCTGACTGCAGGGCCGGTGCTCTGTCCACTGTGCAACTTCCCTGCCCCTGAACATCTTTTTAGGTACTTACAGGAAGCTGTCAGTCACTTTGTCAGAAAGGAAAGTTGAAATTGTTTATTTTGTAGAATGAGTTTGAACAGATGGCCTAACCAGTTGACAGAAGCTGAAAGTACAAGGTCCAAATGGAACCATGTAAGGTTGGAAAGGTCTAGTGAGAAGAGAGAGAGAGAGAGAGAGAGAGAGAGAGAGAGAGAGAGAGAGAGAGAGAGAGAGAGAGAGAGAAAGTGCATAGCATACAGAGATTTGTTGCTGAGAACTTACTACTCTGATTCTGAGGCCCAGCAAGATAGGCACACTTCCCCTATCCAGGGTCAGCCAGATTCAAGGGGAATCACCCCAGCCCCCAAAATATCATGATACCTTTGTGTTCTGCCATCAGTTAACAATAAAGCTTGTAAAAAGTAGACCTCTTGATTAGGCCCTTGATTAGTAAGCTATTTCTTTGTTTTGAGGCTCATTTCCTTCATCTAAAAGCTCTCTTGAGAAGAGCCCTAGAGTTTCCCTAAGGAAGCCAGAGAATTTGAAAAGGCATTACATCCCATTTCCCATTGGATAGGAGATGAGCACAGTCATAGTGTATCTAGTCCTCATGGGAGTCAAGTGCTGACTCTTACCTCTGAAGAGGCCTAGCTCTTCTGTTCATCTCCTTCTTTCAAATATTCTGCTGTCTACAACGAAACAAGACAGCAGAAAGCAAGAGGTAGATGGGGCTATAAGGGATAGGCTACCTATTAAGGGTAGTTAAGGTCAGAACAGCTCCAATACTCAGAGGTTGCCCTAACAAAGTAGATATTTGCTAACATCTAATCTGGTCAATGTGCACTATATGAACCATCAAGCTGAGGAATGCAGGCAAAAAAACCACCCAAAACAACTCACTGTAGGCTGAAAAAATTCTCTCATTGGACTGCCTATACAGTCGAGTCAGACTTTTTACACATTAATTCAGATTTCTTATGTAGTTATCAAGTCTCATTTCCCACTTGTGCCTTACAGACATGGCCAAAGGTAAATTTTGAGGTGAGTATCATTCATTGTTGTTAAAGAGAAATGAGAATTTTCAGGGACTTTTCCTTTCCTGCAGCTAAATCCGCCTTGCAACAGCTTCTGAAAGTAGACCCTGCCCACAGAATAACAGCTAAAGAACTGCTTGATAATCGGTGGATAACAGTGAGTTATAGTATTATTTGTTCTTACCCATTTATCGAAATTGGATTCTGTAGCCTTTTACTAAAGCAGCCAGGTGGTTTTTGCTTTCCAAAATTTTTTTAAGGTAACTAATTCAATTCAACAAGAATTTACTGTGTGCCAACTCTGAGCAGAGCTTTGTGCTCAGCACGGGGGCAAAACAGAAATCAAGAGCACACATCCACTGCCCTCCTGGTGTCCACAGCTGACTAGGAGGCTACTTCATGTGCACAAGCAGATACAATGCAAGATGATGAGACATGGTAAGTCCCTGAGAGAAGTTCAATCAACTCAGTCATCGAAGATTTATTAAGCAATATGATGTCCCAGGCGCTTTACGAATGACTACAGATAAACAGGCAAAAGCCTGCCCTCAAGAGGTTTACATTCTATCAAGGGAGCAGGTAGATTCATAGAGAGGGGGATATAAAAGGCATACAAAGCAGATACAAAGTGATTTTTCAGGGGGAACTTGCTAGCAGCTGGGAGGACTAGAAAAGTTTTCATGGAGTACAGGGCACTTGAACAGTCTTAAAAGAAACTAGGGATGCTGAAAGGCATAGGTGAGAGAAAGCACATTCAGAGGATGGGTACGAAGGCATGGAAAGAGAAGATGGAGTACTGCATGTGACAAACGGAAGACCCTAAGTGAGGCTGGACAACAGAGCGCATGAAGTGGAATGATGTGTAATAAATCTGGAAGCGTAAATTGAGGTCACCTTATAAAGATCTTTTTAGAACAGCTGGGTGGCGTAGTGGATAGAGTTGCCAGGCCTGGAGCCAGGAAGACTCATCTTCCTGAGTTTAAATCTGGCTTCAGACACTTAATGGCTTTGTGACCTTGAGTAAGTCACTTACTCCTGTTTGCCTCAGTTTCCTCATCTGTAAAATGAGCTAGAGAAGGAAATGGCAAACCACTCCAATATCTTTCCCAAGAAAACTCCAAATGGGGTCATGAAAAGTTGGATGTGACTGAAAAATGACTAAACAACTATAAAGAGCTTTGAATATCAAAGAGAAGGCTTTATATTTGATCCAAGAGGTGACAGAGAACCACTAGAATTTATTGAGTAGGCCAGTGTCATGGTCAGATCTATATCTTAATCAAATCAATCTATCAGATGTATGGAGGGTGAATCGGAGGGGTGAAGGTGAGTCTTGAGACAGAAAGACAAATTAGGAGACTATTACAATAGTCCAGATGAGGTGATAAGATTCTAAATGAGGGTGGGGGCCACATGAGTGTAGAGAAGTGAACGTGTTCAAGAGATGTTGTGGAGATAGAAACAGCAAGATTTGGCAACTGATTGGATATGTGGAGTAGCAGGGAGGGAAGAGTCAAGGATGATACCAAAGTAGGGAACCTAGGTGACAAGGTGGGTGATAGTACCCTTGACAACGCAAAAAAAGTTTGGAATAGATGTAGGTTTTGCAGGAAAGACATCTGCTCTGCTATGTGTGTGCTGAGTTTGCAACGCTTGTGTGGCATGCAGTTTGGAACATCTAACAGGCAGTTGGTAACACAGGAGCAGTGCTCAGGAGTGAGACCAAAGACAGAGATATAGATCTTCGCAGTCATGTCCAATTCTTTGTGACCCATCATTTGGAGTTTTCTTGGCAAAGATACTGGAGTAGTTTGCCATGTCCTCCTCCAGCTCATTTTACAGATGAGGAAACTGAGGCAAATAGGGTTAAGTGACTTGCCCAGGGTCACACAGCTAGTAAGTGTCTGAGGCCAGATTTGAACTGAGGAAGATGAGTCTTCTTGACTCCAGGCCATCATACATAACATCTATCCACTGTGCCATCTAGCTGCCCTAGAAGCCAGGAATACCCACCACTGAACTTAGGAAACACTAAAACAACACTGGAAAACAATATGGTTGAATTATTTTAACACCTCCCTCATAAGGCTTATTTGATTATCCAGATATTTCTTTGGAAATATTTCCATATTGCAATCAATCAATTCAGCAAGTATTTATTAAGTGCCTGATATCCAACAAGCCTTTGAGTAGGTGCTATGAAAAGAGAGGGATAGGGTTGGAGAAAAAGGAGTAAAATACAAAGAAAATAGAAGATTGATTCTCATGGGAAGTTTGAGGTCTATTTGGGGAAAACAATCTTACATCCATGAAATGATGTTAAAATCGTCATAAAACAAAAATAAGCCATTTGTCATTTTCACCACAGCATATTTATGTCTTAGCTATTTCTTTGAACTTGGTAAAAAATACTGTCATCTCTATAAAGGTGATGCCACAATCTCTATTTCTAGGATCAGTCATCTTCTCAAATTCCAGTTCCATATCCTGATCCCTTTAAACCTCAGTTTCTCAATGAGGGTTTGGGATCTTTAGACTTGCTTCTAGCTTTAAAATTTCCATGTTCTGACTTCTCAGGTTCCTTCTAGCTTTGATATTCTGTGAGAATAAGATTCTTTGAATTCCAATTGCCTCTTGGGTTGTCCTTTCTCCTATACCATGACAGGAAGAGAATCAAGCCCATGGTGGGGCAGGCAATGTAATGCAGTGGAAAGAACACTAAACTTCATTCTAAATTGGTTCTGCTACTCGCTATTTTTCTTATTTTATGTTTCTAGCACACACGAGAGATATGCTGTCATCACAATTTTGGTTTGTGCTTTTATTGTGGGCAGCCTGGTTACCTTCAGGATACTTCTCTGGTGAAAACCCTGCTCTGGATGTGCTAGAGGTGCATGGTAGAGGACCAATGCGGAAGAATCCACTTGGATTCCCAACGGACTTCCTGTTTGCCAAGATAAGGCAGGAGTAGTTTCCTTGAGGCCATGGTGTACTTCATTCAGCTTTTATATATGGAAAGAATGAATAAAAAAAAAATCCTCACTTGCTTTTAGGTTACAAATGACAATAATAAATGGAGAGCCTTAGGAACCTGAGTTAGTCATAAGGAAACTGCCATCATATTTGTGGTACTCTTGGCCATGATCCTCTGGATTGAGTACATAATTTAGACCTATCTCCCATGAATTGAGTTTGTTTGCCAAGTGAAGGCTTACAGACAGGTATAATGGGTTACTTTCCAGAGCCTTGCAAATCCATAGCTCCCACTTTCTTTCCTCTGAATTTCCCAAATAGCCCCTAAGACTCCTAAATTCCAAAAGTCGGATTCTTTTCTCCATGAATCACTGAACAGTGGTTCATTTATGTCTCCCAAACACCAAAGACTAATTCTCTTTCCTCATAAGACGTATAAGCCTGCCTTTCTTTTTCCTGAAATGTAGGAGCCTTTTGTGACCGCTTCTCTTATTTCACAGGCACCGTTTAATCAAAAGCCAAATACTATGTAACTGTATGTAGACCCTCTACTGGCTCCTCCCCCCAACTTACGCTCTCTCTGACAAATTGAGTCTCCAAAGGGTAGTTAACAAACCACTACTGGTGTACTTGCAATTCATAGTCAGCTAGAGGAAGCAAGGTGTCACAGTAGGTAGAGTGCTGGGCCTGGAGTCAGTAACATTCATCTTCCTGAATTCATCGTTTCTTTTTTTTTTTTTTTGGCTAGGCAATGGGGTTAAGTGACTTGCCCAGGGTCACACAGCTAGTTAAGTGTTATGTGTCTGAGACTGGATTTGAACTCAGGTCCTCCTGAATCCAGGGCCAGTGTTCTATCCACTGCACCCCCTAGCTGCCCCATAATCTTCTTGGTTTCAAATCTGGCCTCAGACACTTATTAGCTATGTAACCCTGGGCAAGTCACTTAACCCTGTTTGCCTCAGTTTCCTCATCTGTAAAATGAGCTGGAGAAGGAAATGGCAAACCACTCCAGCATCTCTGCCAAGAGAACCCCAAATAGGGTCACGAAGAAATCAGATGTGACTAAAGCAACCAAGCAACAGTAGGTATAATTAGCTCAAAGCAATGACATTTCCTAAAACGTCATAGTCAGATCATTACCGACCAAGCATTCCCACCACAAACCTGGGGCTCACTCTCCCACAAATACATGCAGCACCTGTGGGAAGAGTACATCTATGAGTAGTGAGATACAGGTAGGGAAGGCATGTGGCAAAGGCTACTTGCTCCTCTGGGCCTGAAAGTCTTTTCTCTCCCCGGGAATCCTCACAAAGCTGCCTGAACTCAACATCTCTTCTAGGCTTAGCTGGGCTCCCAGAATCTGCTACCGATAGGACACAGCAGCTCTCATGAGGCCAGTCCTGGCTCTCTTCTACACTGCCAGGTGTCACTCCCCTTCAGCCTCAGATGACTGACTTTGTATCTAGGTCTGTCTGGATTTATGTCTCTGCTCCTTCAGCTGTGTTTCAGACTCTCTGGAACTCACTCTGTAACTGTGCTTCAGGAAAATGAATCTGAGGAAGAGGAGTTGGAGGGGGTGAGGTGAGAAAAGTCCCATTTGTCCCCAGGAGGTGAAGATCTGGATTCTTCCCTGACTTCTTGCTCCTACTTCAGCTCACCTGAACTACTGAAATGCCAAGTCTCTCTAGGGCTTATCAATTTAAAGCCCTTATAAGGACATGGCCAATTTCTGTTCCTCCAGCAAGTTACTTCTTTTCCATTCAGAGAGAGGTGCTTATACTTCCTAATGTGATCATGAAGTTACCTTATTGACACATTAAATGCTCATCATCTGTGTTTGCATCCTACACCCACTGGAATGGAGCACTGAAACCTCCTCCTCCTTCTCCTCCCCCCCCTTTACATTTGAATTGCTACATAGATGTGGTCCTACTGAGTTTTTTAAACTACTGTAAAATGGTTGCCTGATTAAGCCATCGTTCTTGTCTTGCCCTGTTTCTGAATGCCTCCCTTCATAATATATTTTCACTTAACATCCCATTTTAAAGGAATAGCTTAATAGCAATAGGATGGGGATGAATGTGTTCCTTTTGTAGATCAGGAACATGCTTCAGGCATAGGATATCTAGGTTTCAGCAAGTCTCTCATGTTATTCTTGTGGACAGAATGGAGAAATGTGAGTTG